CTTCAGTTCAGCCACGCGCCCAGGGACAGTGAATGACCGTTCGGCCCCCTCACTCTGACATGGGTAAAATTGGGCGCCCTTTGGCGGGCCTCTTCGGAGCCTCGCAGGCTGCCCACCTCCCCGACCCCCCCTCGCTCGTATCCGCACCTGCGGGGTGCTGCGCAGGCCTCCAGGATGGGGTCCGAGTAAATGGGGTCGTCTAGCACCCCCCAAACCACCCCAACCCACCACGAAGGCCCCAACTGTCCCTCCTTTCCCAGTGTGGGGGGCGTCGGGGAACATTGAAAACCACATCTGGGACCCGTACCGGGTCTTCGGGTTGGGTTGGGGTGGTTCGGTAGGTAGTTAATCGGAGGATCGCGCCGCATCGCCGATGCGTCGGCGATGCGGCACTATGTGGAGCCCGATGTTCCCCGCGCCGACGTCGCCGATGCATCCATCGCCGACGTTGCCAATGCACTGCCGATGCATCGTTGATGCATCGCCGATGCATCGGCGCTGCGGCGCGATTCTCCGACTCCATCTACTCGGACCCAAGCTAGGCTGCCTCTGCATGCACTTTCGGAATTCCGTGCGGATTCCTGGGGTCGGCGCCAGGGCACCCTTGGTGGCGCCTCCCGCGCCGCCTTTGGCGCGTTCCACGCGCCTGGGAGGGGGATCCAGCGCCGATCCAAGAAGTCCGGGCGGCGCTTCGATAGGTTATGTTCATGCCTATGTGTCTTCCTGGACTTCGGCGGAGGAATTCTGCATACAAGCGCTACACCATCACGCATGCTGGGGAGCTGGGGCGTACCGAGCTCCCTGGCCCGACCATGCGAGTTGAAGGTGTGCTTCGAGCCCCTCCCGCAAAGTGGCGGATAGCCCAGCGGGGGGCTCCCGTCGCCGTGGTCTTCGGCGAGGCTCCCCGCGAAAACGCAATCATGCCCATCCCTCGGCTGTCCGCACCCTTTTGCCTCCGCCGCTCGCCTTTCCCCACGAATGCCCGCCCGGGTGGCCTGGAACCCCGCCTGGAGCCGTCCAAGTAATTATGCGTGGCCGGGACCTTCCAGAGCAGCTCGACTGCCACACATCGATAGTTCACCACCACGGATCCGTCGAACCATCCGTGCAGAACTGTCGCTGCGGATAGTACATGGCGAAACTGGACTGCGACGGTTGCGATAGCTCGGGGCGGACCGCCCGGAAGGCAGCCCCTGCCTGTTCACGCAGGCCCGATTGGCCTGCGGGGCGCCCTCCTGGAGACCCAGGGGGCCCCCAGGGTGCTGCGGAGAGTTGGGGGGCGCCTCGGGGGCTCCGGGAGCCCGGGTCGCCCTCCACGAGACCCAGGGGGCCCCCAGGGTGCTGCGGAGGGTTGGGGGGCGCCTCGCGGGCTTCGGGTCACCTCTGCCAGCCCGGGTGGCTTGAGGGCCCTGGCGCGGGCGCCGGCGACAGCGCTCGATGATCCGTGGTACGCAGTCTCCTCGAGCACGCGTCCGCGGTACGCTCCGCTAGGGCGTTGGGTTTGAGGGCGTGGGCGCGCGCGCTGGCGGCAGCGCCCGACGAGCCTCGGGGCGCAGGCCCGTTGGGCCCTGACCCGCAGCAAGTTTTGTGCGGAGCTTGGTTCGCAGCTCTTCAGCCCGCGGGGGCCCTCGAGAGGACGAGGGAAGGATGACGAGGAGGAGGAGGAGGAGGAGGAGGAGGAGGAGGAGGAGGAGGAGGAGGAGGAGGAGGCCCGGATCCTCGCTGGACCCTCGGCCCTCGAGAGGTACGTCTGCACCGCCTGCGGCGTGTGCGCCGCCACCTCCGAGGGCCTCCTGGAGGAGCGCACGCCTCTGACTCCTGCTGCTCGAACCTCCTCGTCCTCCTCCTCCTCCTCGCCTTCCTCTCTTCTTCGTTCTCCCTCCCCTCGTCTCCCCTCCAACCTCGCCTACCCCCCCCCTTCTCCCCACTCCGTCCTCTCGCCCTCCTCGTCCTCCGTCTCCGCGGCCTCCTCCCTTTTCTCCACCTGCGCCTCCACCTGCGCCTCCGCCTCCTTCTCCTTCCCCCGTTACCGCTCGCCTGCCTGAAGAGGAAGGAGGGGAGAGGAGAGCGAGGAGGATGGCTGGGAGGAAGAGGATGAAGAGGAGCAGGAGTAGAAGCATGAGGGGGAGGAGGATGAGGGTGAGGGGAAAGGGGGGGGAGGACGGATGGGGGGCAAGGGAGGATGGAGTGGTGGGAGGAGGAGAAGGAGGAGGAGGACATACAGGAGTAAGAGGGGGAGGAGGAGGAGGAGAAGGGGAATAAATAGGAGGAGAACGGAGAATATGACGATGATGATGCTGATGACGACGTTGAAGACGATGATGATGACATTGATGATGAAGATGATGACTATGATGCTGATGCTGATGCTGATGCTGACGGTTCTGATGATCCTGATGATCAGAATGATGCTGAATTTGATGATGCTGCTGCTGCTGCTGATGATGATGATGATGATGCTGATGCTGATGATGATGATGATGATGATGATGATGATGATGATGATGATGATGAGAAGGGTGTGGAAATGAAAGGGGGCGAGGAGGAGGATGACCAGGAAGATCATCACTATCTATGGACTAGGAAACACAGCGATGATGATGATGGGGACGGTATGGACGACTTTGAGGTACTGTTGGGGATAAGCATGATTGGGGGGATGGTGAGGATGAGGATGGTGAGGAAGGGGATGAGCATGGTGAGGATTGGGTGAGGAGTGGGAGGAGGGGGAGGATGACCTGCTTTGGAGGGAGCGGGGAGGGGGGTGAGGAGGATGAGGAGGAGGGAGTGGTGCGTGCGTGCGTGCGTGCGTGCGTGCGTGCGTGCGTGCGTGCGTGCGTGCGCGCGTGCGCGCGTGCGTGCGTGTGCGTGCGTGTGCGCGCGCGCGCGCGCGCGCGTGTGTGTGTGTGTGTGTGTGTGTGTGTGTTGTTCTGTGCGTCTGTGCGTCTGCGTGTGTGCGTGTGTGTGTGTTGTGTGTGTGTGGGTGGGGGAGAACGGCAGGGGGACGACGATGGCGATGATGATGATGATGCTGCTGATGGCGACGACGGCGCTGCTGATGATACTGATGCTGACGCTGACGTCGATGCTAATGCTGATATTGATGGTTCTGCAGCTGCTGATGATGCTTCAGATGCTGCTGCTGGTGGTGATGAGGATAACGATGGTGACGGCGATGACGATGAGGATGATGATTCTGATGACGATGATGATGCCGCTGATGATGATGATGATGATGATGATGATGATGCTCTTGATGCTGACGCTGCTGATGATGATGATGACGATGGTGATAGTGATGATGACGATGCTGATGATGATTATGATGATGCTGGCGCTGCTGCATATGCTGCTGATGATACTGATAATGATGATGCTGCTGATGATGATAGTGATGGTGGTGGTGATGGTGATGGTGATGATGCTGATGCTGATGCTGATGATTCTGATGATGCTGCTAACGCTTATGCTGCTGCTGCTGATGATGATGATGCAGATGCTGATGCTGATGCTGACGCTGATGCTGATGATGATGATGATGATGATGATGATGATGATGATGATGATCGTGCTGATGATGATGATGCTGCTGATGATGATGATGACGAAGATGCTGAAGATGATGATGATGATGATGATGCTGATTGTGATGATGATGCTGCTGATGATGATGCTGATGATGGTGCCGATGATGATGCTGATGATGATGATGATTATGCTGATGATGATGCTGATGATGATGATGATGATGATGATGATGATGATGATGATGATCAGGATGATGATGATGCTGATGATGCTGACGATGCTGCTGCTGCTGCTGCTGCTGATGATGATGATGATGATGATGATGATGATGATGATGATGGATCTTTGGGAATGGTGAAGAAAGGTGCACATTTTCTGTTTCCCAGGGCGCCCCGAAGGTGCACGTTTCCCCCCCCCTCCCCCCCCCGCCCCCCCCTTCAATTGTCGCCCACCCACTGAGCGAAGCCCCATCCACCACGCGCCCTCTCCGGCGAGGGGATGCGGCGGCGGCAGCAGTGGCGGCCGTGGCGCGGGTGGGGGGGCGACGGCGACCGCCACGCCAGCCGGCCATGGCGCGGTGGACCACGCCGACCACGGCCACAGCCATGACGACGACACCAGTCGCGACGGCCGCGACAGCTACGGCGGCCACGGCGGCCACGGTTGCGATGGCCACGGAACGGCGACGACGACGACGGCGGCGGCGGCGGCGGCCGCCGCGGCCTCGGCGGGCCGACCGTGCCCAGGCGAGGGAGGACGTGCTGGCGTTCGGGCAGCTGCGGGTGCCCGAGGACGCCCAGGCCGCCTGCGTCGGCCGCCGCCCGTTTGACGTGTTGCCGCTCCCGCCGCCCCGCCGTCGCCCTCGCTCTACAGTGGGCGGCTCGAATCAGCTAAGGGGCACCTGCTTTTCAGCTCCGTCGCACCTTCGGGCTTGCGTGCGTGAGTTGTCGTTCCTGATGCGTTACTCCTTGGGAGAAAAGGGGCTTCGTTCCTTACCTGTAGTTCCTTAGGTCAGGCCGAGGACCTCGTCCGCCGTCCTGGCCGTAGCCCGGCCGCCGCGGCCGCCGCGCACTAGCGGCCTGTCCGGCGGCCGGGCCCCAACACGGCCGCGGCCGACGCCAGCGGGGCAGCGGGCGCAAAATGTGTGCGGCAGCCGCGCGGGGTTGCGCTCAGGACATCGCGGTCGTCGCTGCCGTCGTGGTCGTCCCGCCGCGGGTGGCGGGTCGTGGGCGGCTCCGTTAGGCGCGGCGGTCGTCGCCGCCGTCGTGGTCGTGCCGCCGTGGGCCCTGGGGGCCGCGGCGGTGGTGGTGGTCGCCAGTGGCGCGGTGCGGACAGTGCCGCTCCTGCTCTCGCCGCTGCTCCCTTCGGGGTGCAGTGCTGTCCCTGCCTGCTTGTTCGCTTTCTCTCCATTTCTTGAAGTGTCCAGGCCAAGCCCAACCTTTCCCACTTCCCGTGTACTTTCATGCTGTTAATCTCTCCCCCCCTTCCCTCCGCCCTGCTTCCTTCTCCCTTCCCCTCCGTCCCCCTTCTCCCTCGCCTCGCTCCTCCCTGCTCGTACTCCTGCTTTTCCTTGTGCGACTTCTGTTACTGCTGCCGCTCCTCCTCCTCCTCCTCCTCCTCCTCCTCCTCCTCCTTCTCCTCCTCCTCCTTCCTGCCCGAGCACCTGCAGCACCGCGTCTTGTATTGTCGAGAGCTCCCTGGTGCATCGTTTGACCCTCGACCCGTGGGGTGGCCCATCGCTGGCGCGTGCGGGCGCCCGCCAGGCAGCCGTCACCGCCGTCGCCCCTCGCGGCATGGCGGCCGCCGTCGCCGGCCACCGTCCCGCGAGCGACGCAAGAGGCCGAGCAGCGCCTGGCACGAGAAGCGTCAGCAGGGCGAGGCTGAGTCAGAGCCCCTCCTCCTCCTTCTCCTCCTCCTCCTGCTCCTCCTTCTTTCTCCTCCTCTCCCTCCTCCTCCTCCTCCTCCTTCCTCCTCTCTCCTCCTCCTCCTCCTCCTCCTCCTCCTCCTCCTCCTCCTCCTCCTCCTCCTCCTCCAAGCGGCACCAACCGACCTCGCCAGCGAGGCAGAAGAGCACCCCCACTAGAGACGGCAAGCCCTTGGCGCCCCCGACGGAGCGCGCCAGCTGCAGCTGGCGTGTGGTTGCGAGCAGTCCTGGCTTCGCAAGGCCACCCTCGTGTTCTTCGTGCTGGGGCTCTCCACCTCGGAGTGCTCCTTCGTCCTGGGCATCTCCGACGTGTCCTGGGTCCAGGCCTCCTAGATGGGGTCCGTGTGGATGGAGGACCGCGCCGCTCGACGATGCGGCTTGATGAGGAGCCCGTGCTTCCCCACGCCGACGTCGCCGATGCATCGGCAAAGCGGCACGATCCTTCGACCCCGTCCACTCGGACCCCATCCAGGGGGCCTCTACTGGGCCCTCGGCGAAGGGACCCACGCTGTTGACCCGCGCCTTTGTGGCCATGCTTAGATGCCACGACCGTGCCGGGATCTCTGGACCTGGCCACCCTGGACCGGCCGCTCCCGCGAGGCGGCGCCCGCTGCCGCTGGCGGGGCCGTGGGCGCGCCGCGGGCGCCTGGCTCTCCCGAGCCCAGGCCCCCCTCCGAGGGGGGCGCGGAGATGATGTCCCGCGCCCCGCTCAGCCACGCGCAGAGGGGATCGGGGGGAGGGGGGAGGGCTTCTCAGAAGCACCCCATCTTCTTAGAAGGCGCGAGCCTCATCTATGGATGCAAGGCCGGCGCCTTCTAAGAAGCAGCCTCCTAAGAAGCCCTCCCCCCCCTTTCAAGCAGTGGCGGAGCGTCCTGGCTCGCCTATAGCCCTATCATACCAAAACATGTTCTAAGAACCTTTTTGTGGTTTCCACGAAATGTCGTTATAACATTTATTGTTGAGACTGTTTTGTTTTAGCACATCGGGTTTATGTTCTAAGAACATGGGTTTTGCTCTTACAACAGTTTAGGGTTCTAAGGGCATCTCGTGGTAGGACTACAGGAATGCCGGGACGGTCGGTCCCTGCTCAACCCCTCCCTCCACCTACTTGTGCGCGCCAACCCGCGCCGCGGCCCGGGCCGGAGAGCTGCCCTCCTCCAGGATGGAGGCCTCGCGGGGCCGCGGGGCTCTGTGGCCCCCGGCGCGTCCCGCACCGGCGGGGCGCGGGGTGCGCGAGGCCGCGAAACCCGACGGAGAGGGCACGCAAACCCGCCCTGGGGGGTACGCCGGACAGCGGGGGGGCCAGCGGGGGATGGTGACAGGTGCAGCGCAGCCGATAGCTCCGCCTCCGCGCGCGCGCCATATGCAGGCGACCTGCCTGCGCATCTGCCTGCGCACCTGCGCACTCGCTCGTGCCGTGCGCCAGCGCGTGTGGTCGGAAGAAGACACTGCCGGCCCGTTTCCACCGCTGTGCGGGACTGGCGGCACGCGGGCGGTCGGCCAATTCGCACGTTGCGGGGCAGGAGGAGAAGGAGGAGGAGGAGGAGGAGGAGGAGGAGGAGGGTGAGGAGGAACAGGAGGAGGAGGAGGACGAGGAGGGGGAGGAGGAGGGGGAGGAGGAGGAAGCGACGAGGCGAAATCAGCCACAAACCTTCGCCAAACAGCGGGCTCGCGGATGCTTTGCAGCGCAGCCTCTTTGGAAGCGAAGGGTGGGCCTCCCGTGCTCAGTAGCACCCAGCCGCCCCACAGCCAGGGCGCCAGCGTCCGCAGCTGGCCGCAGGCTGCCGTGATGAAGTTTAGGGCGCCTCAGGGAATCACACTTGTTGCCCGGCTGAGCTGGCCTTTTGGGCCTGTGCCAAGTGCCCGAGGGTTCGCTTCCCTCCCTCGTGCCTCGACTCACCATGCGACTCTGACCGTTCAGGCCCCGCGCTTCGAGCACCAGCGAGCCCCGCTCAGATTCTCGAGGAAGGGGAAGAGGCCGATGACTCCGCCTCCTCATTCTCCTCCCCCCGCGGGTCCTTCTACGTTCCTCGTCTTTCGTCTCCATTCCCCTTTGCTCTCCGGGGGGCTGTTGGCTGAATGGCTTAGGCGCAGAAGCCTGGGTAACCAACTGGGTGGGCTGGAGGCCCAATCCCTCGGCTGTTAGGTCGATCCTAGGGCGAGGTCATATCACCTTCGAAGCGTTGGTCGTGAGGTGTTTGTTCCGAAAATGGAAACGGCATCGACTGAAACTTTGGAGTTCAGCGCGGATTTCTTGGACATGAGCTGGACCCCGCCTCCCTGGCGCGCGAAGCGCGCCACGGGCGGCGCTGGAGGCGCTGCCTGGGGGCCCCCCTGGGGGCCCCAGGCGCTGCCTGGGGGCCTCGCGCGGAGCTCCGACCAATTGTGCTTATGAAGCTTGTTCCTCCCCTCTCGTTGTTGTCACCTGCTTCGCTCCCCCCCGATGTGCCGCCTCCTGCCGCCAGCGCCCGCGGCCAGCCCCCCCCCAGGGCAGCAAGACGATAGCGTGCCCTTGGTGCGAGCAGGCGCCCGCCGCTGGGTAGGAGGGATGAGGAGGAGGAGGAGGAGGAGGAGGAGGAGGAGGAGGAGGGGGGGGAGGAGGGGGACCAGTGCAATTCCGAGACGCATCAACGATGTTCTCCCTCCACGTTCCTCTCTCACGGGTCCCTATACAAGGATTTGTGTTCTCTTTTGGAAGTGTTCCATTTGAAGGCAACCGCGCAAACACACACCACTCCTCGAATTCCAACGCTTCGAACCAATTAATCCAATGAAAACATGTAAGGACCCCCCTCTTCCAGTGAAATGATAACGCACCCGGCACCCAGAAGCGTTAAACTGGCACCCTGAGGAGGATGATGATGAGGACGTGGATGTGGATGAGGATGATGATGCTTATGATACTTATACTGCTGATGATGCTTATGCTGATGATGATGATGATGATGCTGGTGATGAAGTTGCTGCTGCTGATGCTGTTAATGATGATGCTGCTGCTGGTGCTGATGTTGATAATGACGATGACGATGACGATGCTGCCGATGATGCTGATACTGATGATGCTGATGATGATGATGATGATGATGATGATGATGATGATGATGATGATGATGATGATGATGATGATGATGATGATGATGATGATGATGATGATGATGATGCTGCTGCTGATGATGATGATGATGATGATAATGCTGATGCTGACAGTGATGACTGGCGATGCTGTTGATGCTGATGATGATAATGCTGATGGGGGGCGATAGTGCTGATGATGCTGCTGCTGATGATGACGATGGTGATGATGATGACGATGCTGCTGCTGATGATGGTGGTGATGGTGATGCTGATTATGATGATTGTGATGATGACGATGCTGCTGATGCTTATGATTATGATGGTCATGCTGCTGATGATGATGCTGATGATGATGATGATGATGATGCTGCTGCTGCTGATGATGATGATGATGATGATGATGATGATGATGGCGGTGATACTGATGATGCTGATGACGATTATGATGATACTTATGGTACTGATGCTTCTGCGGATGATAACGATGATGCTGATGCTCATGATGATGATGATGTTGCTGCTGATGATGCTGAGGAGGATGATAGGATGAGGATGAGGTGGAGGATTATGAGGATGATAATGCTGCTGATCATGATTATACTTATATATTGGTGACGAGACGAGGAGGAGGAGGTGGAGGAGGACGTGGAGGAGGAGAAGGAAAGAGAAGAGGAGGAGGTTGAGGACAAGGAGGAGGAGGTGGAGGAGGAGGAGGAGGAGGAGGAGGAGGAGGAGGAGGAGGAGGGGGAGGAGGAGCAGGAGCAAGAGGAGGACGGAGGACGGAGGACTGACTGACTGACGAGGCGTGCGGAGACCAGGTCTAGCCTGGGCGCAGGAACAAAAGCAGACATGCGGGGAGCAACGGTGCGAGGGTCACTAACGGCGCAACGCCGGGCAGTCCCCACTCGCACCGCGCCCCCCGCAAAATCAGACATGCGGGAACTTACCTCCGCTCTTGGGGGGCAATCCCCTGGACAGCCGTGACAGAACCTCTTTCCCTGCTTTGGAGGGGGGGCTGTCCGTCTTGCAGGGCTTCGACAAACTCTGCGCATTCACCGTCGCATGAGCGCCGCAATGCAAACAGTAAAGAACTCCTCTCAAAACTTGCAATCGATGACTCCTGGCACACTGCCTGACCCCTTTGACCAGGGGCAAGTAATCAGAATAACAGACAATATCACCACTCGTTCGCAGAAGGACAGTCAGGAAGGCATACAACTCAGACCTCGGACTGGATTGTTCAGGAGTAGGTAAGGTACCACAGAGGACCGTAGATAACTGCAAAGATAGCCCATCAGGATCACCCAAGCACACAATAGACCATGCACAACGTCGTAGTCTCTTATCCTTGGCGTATACACCTCCAGAGCCATCAAGGCCCCAAATACCACCAAGAACACGATGTTGGACTCGTAGGGGACCCCAAGCCCACAGGAGCTCCTTCGGGGACGGCAGGTGACCACAGGTAGCGTCCCAGCTAGGAAGCCCACGAGTGAAGAAGGCACTCTGAGGGTCAGCCCCAAGAGCCTCAGGAACCAAATATTCACTTGCAGCAACGGCAGGGTCAGGTAGATACGAATTGCACGGGCACTGCCAAGCCCGATGCAACGGAGTTTCTTTATCATCTCCACATCGGAAGCACCGGCCTGATGTACGGTAGCCAGCGTCTTGTAGCCGACTTTCAGGCCAGCATCCTCCAACAACAATGGTGGTCAAGAGTGCAGCATTCTTGAAATCACCTTCATCCAGCAGCTTCTTGTGCTTGGAACGAAAAACAGAGAAGTCAGCACCAGAAGAGAGACCTTGCCCACACCAATGCTGACTAGCGGCAGACCAAATTGCGGCAGAGCAACTCTCTCGGACACAGGAGGTGACATGATACCGAAAATCAATACGATCCATTCTTAGGGGAGCTCTGCCTTCCACTATCCACTCATCGATATGGGAGGGTTGCCATCCTAGGTCCAAGACAGTAGCATACAAAGCAGCGATGGGACCGCGAACGAACCGCCATCGGTCAGACGCACGAGCACGGCCCACTGTCGCATGCAATTGAGACCAGACCTTTCGAGCTCCACCGCGCAAACCTTCAGACAAGGATGACCACACTTCAGAGATTAGGGTAAGTTGTTCAACACGTAGCCTATAGACAGGGTCATCCTTAGTATCATGCAATACTCGCAATACGCTGGTAGTACATGCCCCCGACGACCAGAACCCCGAACAGGAAGCCGCGGAGCCTCTAAACTGCTTCAATATTCCAGGTGGAAGTCCAGACATAGCATGCCCCCAAGAGCCCACTGAGAGGATGCCAGGCTTGAAGACCTTACGCGAAGCTCCACACAACCTTGCAAGGTAGGACAGCTTACGACCACGTCGGAATGCGATAGCACGTCTCTCATATGTTTTCCACGCAGTGCGCCTTCGGCCAGCTGAGGTGACTGTGCCCAGGTCCTTCACACTGGGCGAGAAGGTGATGGAAACTCCATGCTTCTTAAACTCTTCTTGAAGGAGTCGCTGCAACTCCATAGACGAGGCAACTGCAAGAGACTTCGGGCTGACCACACAGCCAAGACCTGATATATCATGCTGGAAAGCCGCCGCCGCAGGCGGCAAATAACGACGAATAAACTCTCGAGTACCCTGCAAGTACTGGGTGATGTCGTCAACATAAGACCTAATGGGAACACGGACCTGTGGGAGATCACCAAGGCCCTGTGGAACCCTGCTATGGGCCTTCTCCAGTACCCCATACAAGTAGCACTTCACCCAGGGCATACTCTGACTACAACCCGCCAGGATAGACTCCCCAGCCTCAATAACCCGAGAAAGGTTGCCAGAAACCTCCAACAGCCTCGGAGCAGTGTGGATGAGGAGCCCCAAGTACAGGAGGTGCCCAGGGTACCCACGGTTGGTGGCAAAGTGGAGGAGCTTGCAGGGGCTCACGGAGTCGAAGAACTTCTCGAGGTCCCAATGGAGCGCACAAGATTCGAACCCACATGCACGGGCCACTTCATGGGCCAGTTCACGAAATAAAGCAGCCTTAAGAGCAGAGGACCCTTTGACAGCAGAGTCCCAGAAATCCAGATGCTCTTTATTCCAATCATCGATATCAAAGCCGCGGGCTTTGCAGTAGATTCTGTAAAGACTAGGGCACTTGACAATGGCACGCTCATCACAAATAGACTTAGGCAGCATGGCCATGAGGCAGACATAGCACTGAGGAGGGAAGCTCAACGTTTGCTCAACTTGACGCATGATACCTGTGAACACTTCGAGGGAGTCGATGGGAGCGGAGAGCAAACTGCGTGGCGCCAGCATGTCGACGCCTAGCGACGTGTGTGGCTTGAAACATGTACAGGCCTTAGCAATGTCATGCACTTCAAGCGGGTCCAAATCTTGCGTAACGACCAATGCTTGCGAACGAAGCTCACGAAGGCCTGCCTCCAGACACACACGCTGTTCAGAGTTTGGGGTCCACCATTTACTCCACTTCCGTTCCCGAAAACTCATCATCGAGGTAGGGGTGTCCACGATACCCTCAGGAGCCAAGAAATACTCAACGCAAACTTTCTCTTCAGCTTTCAAATAGCGGTGAACGGGACTAGCACCTCTGGGAAGGGATGACTGCAACCAAGTGCGCATGCTGCCCCTGGCCTTGGCATGTGCGAGAGACCATGCACGAGTACACACAACACCTGCAGCCTCAACGAGTTCTTCCAATCTATGACACAAGTAGGGAGGTTGGTTCAAGGAATCCTTCCACGACACAGCTGCTTGAGAACTCGCAAGAGGCTCGATGTGAGAAAAAATGTGGCACGCCAAATCGGCCAAGACGTGCCTGTGCTGCATCGCGGCCTGGGAATACGGATCTTTTCGAGTCAACTTCATCAACTCATACAGGCGACTGGAAACAAGAGACCAATATGACAAGTCAGGGTTCTTGAAACTCTGCGCCTGCACGTTGCGGGTCATCGGGGACGAGTCCTTACGCTTCAGCATACTACCCCTGCCTAAGTAACGGTGCGCGTCAGTGACAACGGCACATGCACGAGACAGACCACGGAGCTCCATTGCTCTAGACCAGATAGAGTACTGTATCCCAAGACTCCGAGACAAACCTTCCAAAGTATGAGCGGGCATCGCCTGGTGGAGGTCCTCGGGCATCACCAAGGGGGCCTCCAGGAAACTGGGTGCGGCGGCAGCCATGTAACTCAACCAATGGTTATCAGGTCCATACGCTTCAGGGATCTCCAGGGGCTTCACACGGAGACAGACGGGTTCCACCATAGCCTCAAGGTCCAACAGCACGTCGAGGCACGCATGGGTCTTGAACGGGGACAGGAGGTCGGCGGAGACTCGCAGATATCTAGACAACCGATTCGAACAGACAACATAGTCAATCAAGGTCTCACCAACAGAACAGGTGAACTCAACGTTTTTGGGAACC